TAGGAATTAAATAGAACATAGTTTTTTGATTCACTGTTCCAAATCACTTCTGGCCAATACCTGGTCCACAAACTTTTCAGACTCCTTTTTCCTGCTGTCTTGCCTTTTGGATCCCAACTAGCTGCTGCTTGCCCTCACAAGCTAATCAGTAACTAACCAGTGCATGTGTCGTGTGTAGACAAAAGTTCATTTTCTGATGGGCCTATGTACATCACTGATAATCCCACTCCTTTCAGCTATCTTGCATTAAAAGAAAACTCTTAATTCCTTTTTATATTTTTCCTCAATAGAAATTACTAAGTTTTTCAGCAGCAACACGGCTTCATCCAGACTCCATCAGTTTACCCAAAACAGGCTGCACATGTCCTGGTTTCAGCTGGGAAAGAGTTAATTTTTCTTTCTAGTGATTGCTGTGAAAGGAATGTCAGTAATACCTATTGTTTTTAGTTGTTGCTAAGTGATGTTTACACTATTCAAGGACTTTTTTTCAGCTTCCCATAGAAGCATAGACAGAATGATGGAATGGCCAATGAAATATGCCATACCATGGACATCATGCTTAGTAAAGGGGGGCTAGCTGGGGGGGTGCAAATCCACCATCACTGCTCCAGACAGCACCAATCCATAGACCTGTGTCATTATTATTTTTCTTATTTTGTTACTGTTTCTATTAAACTGTCTTTATCTCAGCCCCTGGGTTGTTTTTTTTCCCTCCCTTTCCCTTTTTGTTTTTTTCTTCCCGCTTAGCGGGGGCGGTTTGCAAGTGAGCCACTGCATGGTTCTAGTTCCTGGCTGGTGTAAAATCACAACATGTCTTACGACCAGGTGGTGGTCAGTAGGTTACTTACTCTGTTTCCAAGGCAAAGCATAATGCTGAACTCTAATTAAACACAAGTCAAATCTGAAACCTGTTCAATTTCGACACATTCTTTCAGTACTTGCAACAAAGATCTACTGATTTAATAGAATTTTGTTGAAATTCAACCTCTTCAGTTATATGAGGTCATACTGAAAAGTAAGAAGGGATTTCTTCAGGCTTACTCCTCATTTGAGTTCAAGGCAGCTAGTACCTTCCTCTGCAAATAATGACGTGACATCTTAGAATATCTGGATTTAGCACATGTCCATCATATTCAAACACTTCACTAGCTACACAAAATGACCTGTAGATTTAAGCACAGGTAGGCACTGGGCAAGCGTTATACGAAACTAAAGGTCATACTAGAATTCAGGGATGGTGGTGTTTTGTCTGAACCATTCACGCCCACAAGAACCTGCTCTGAAGGAGTGATGCTGATACCTGACAATTCCCTGCTTTGAAAACAAAATGGAACCAGCCACCACTAATTCCAATTCTAGAGACAACTACATTTAGTGTTGAGCAACTGGCATGTTTTGTTTTCAGATTCTGCATGTAATCAAGTAACCCCCCATTATACAGACAACAATGGTTTGAGAGAAGGGTGGGATTTTTACCTAGGCTCTCTGAAGGGCACGTAATGGGTGCTTTCATATGGGAAAAGAGCACTGCTGCCTTTCAACTGGAGGACATTCTTTAAGACTTGTCTTTATTTTGCTCTCTATACAGCCGTTTAAACATCCCTTAAAAAAACCCAAACACTCATGCAAAATCATCTCTAAGATACCCTCAGTGTTTGCCTGCATTTGCTAGTATCTAGACTTCTCAGTAAAAAATAGCACTAAGCTAAATTTCATTAAGCAACACCTGTACACTTTACTGATGAGTTGATTATACTGATCAAAGAGCATTATATCAACTTTAAATTGTTCACTACAGTGTGTAAAGCTTGCTAAAATAAAAGGATTAAACAGTGGCTTTGACAACATCACAAACACCGAGTTGTGGCTTTCTCATAAACAGAGAGATAGATGGTAGTAGTTTCCCCCTTTCCTGTTTAAAAAAGCAGCAAGCTGCAGCTGTAAGATTTTTTTAAAATAAGTTCATTTTAACCTTTGATGCCTGATCATGCAGAGCCAGGAGCCCTGGCCCCGCTCTCCTGCGGGGTCGTAGGCGGGTTGCAGTCCTGGGGTGGATTTTAATGTCCGTTTTCTCATTTGTTTGGTTACATATGCCACATCCTCCGATGTAAGGGGGTAACTCCTGCCATACCCAATTTTGTATTCCTAGCCACATTTCGCTGCATTTGCTTCTGCAGCAGCCTTTCTTCAACATCTGCCAGGGAAGTACAAGTTAATCAGCATGTAAAAATTCTGATCTATGGCTATCTTGCAACTGACAGCATCAAACAGCACAAGCACAGGCTGGGAATTTTTGCATCCTTTTGTTTAAAAATTAATTCAGCTTTGCATGCACCTCTGCAGCTCCCTCCAGAAGTAATTGTGGCAAAAAGTCTTCAGAAAAGCATCTTTAGGTTAGCTGAACTCTTCCTGAAGAGGTATGTTTTCACAAAATTAAAAAAAAAAAACCCTACAGTCACATGTAAAAGTATTTACTTCGAAATTAAATGTGTGGAATTGCCACCAACATTTAAAGCATTCTGGATAGAACTGTCAATTGAATCAGTATCGGGCCAACTCAAATTCTTATGTATCTTCTCCCTTTCAGAGTCTGCTGTAGGATTTAATCTGTGTCTCAACTCCACCCATGATACAGCGGCACAAACAGAACCTAGAAGTCAATGGACAATTCCTGCTTAGAGGATGCAGTCACTGGAAGAAAGACTGAATGTACAACTGCATTCTCCTACGCAGCCTTTCACTCTCCACTGCTAAGATGGCACCTCCAAGACACACTGGCCAGGTAAGCTGGAACAATCTGTTCTTATTTTCTGTCTCTACCTTGTCTGTGCACATTTTCTGCCTATTTCTTCAGCCACCTCCTCATCCCACTTTGTACTTCCTTAGATACACACCAACATTTTATTGGAATAGGACCTTATTTCTTGTGCAGTGACCAAATTCCTGATCTGCCTAATCCTTCACAATTCATTATTTGGGAAGGCCTTTCCATCACTTTTGTCCTACCACTCTTCTATAAAACATTCTAAGTGGTATAGACATATTCTTTGCTAGCTCTTAAAAGCAAAGGAGAAACCACTCCAAAAAAAAAAGGGGGGGGTGTACTTCAGCTGTGTGCTTGTTTATTGGAAACTTTCACTGGGAACTTCACAAGTATTTTCACAATTAAGCATGATGGCAGTCCAAAGTATCATACTGCACATGACACAAATTATAAGGGTGATAAAAAAAAGAGAAAAACCACACAACATACTGCCACATATGTTGTTCTTTACATCTGTTAAATGACATAATAAAAATACACTAAAGCCTTCTGAAAATAAAGTTTTATAAATACAAAGCCAACAGAATAAAAGATGAACTAGATTCTCTAAAATTCTAGACTAATTTCTGAAGAGTACTGCCTCTTCATTTACAGTTCGCTTTAAAAAAAAAATAAAACAAGATTCCTCTAGCCTGCTGAATGGAAGAAATTATTAACTTGATACTAAGTGTTGCATTCTCAGAAGACAGTTACACAAACACGCATTAGCATGCAGGCTAGTTTTTCCCCTCCACCCTAAAACACCCTTAAAAACAATTCTTTAAAAATATAATTTAAAACAGCACTGTGCCACGTGACTTGAAACAACTACCCCAAGTCAGTAAAAGCATATTGCACATTACTTGTATTGCTGTCCTGAGAACCTTCAGAGAAAAGACAAACCAAGAGTACTGCCTTCAAACAAATTTACAATAGTGGTTGCATATATCAAAAACTAAAGTTCCACATTTGCAGAAGTACATTTCTTGTAAGTATCTACATTAACAAAGAAAAAAGCCTAGACAGTTTTTTGAACAATCACCCCTGGTTTCAGCTGAGGAAGGCACCTTTGGATATGTGACAGTAGGTTTGCATCTCATTGCAAAGAAGCAACACCATCTTCAATTTACCAGCTACGTTTTCCAAAGAATACTAAGATGGTATTTAAAAAACTAAGCCAGCACTGTCTAGCCCTGCAGTCAAACTCTAATTTCACAGTAAAGTTAACCAGTTCCCTGTCTGTGCCCCCATTAACAACAGTTCCCCTGTCCTGAGCCTGAACTACTGCCACAAGTCATTGAGCCCAAAAGATGAAATAACTGGAGGCAGCGAACCTTTCAAGAGTTTTTCCAAGAGGATTTCTTCAAGTAACATTAAATCCCTGATAAAGCTCATGAACAATTTTACTAACAGTAATCTCCAGTCTCAAAAAGCAGCAGCATGTTAAAGATCTAAGAGATGATTTAAGGTTTTTGGTTTTGTTTCTAAAATACTTGAAGGCAGAGTGATGTTCCATTCAGCAGCACCACGTTTAGATGCCAAGAGAATTTTAAGTCAAAAATTATTTGATAGTCTTCTGGCCCATTTTTCTTTTTTTCTTTTTATCCTAAAGTTTTACTGCTGAACTATCACTCGTGCTCAAAGAAAACAGAAAGTGTTCTACACATAGATTTCTGCATAAACAAAGTTCGCATTTAACTGATAACAATTTCAATACATTTTCATAGAAGCTTCCAGTAGTATAAGCTGCCACTGTTCAAGCAACACATCACTGGGAAAGGAGAGAACTCCGTGTTTTCCAACATCATCCTCTAGGTACACTGCTACTTGGCCAGAAATTCAACAAACACTCCAGCCCAAAATAACTCTTCAACATAAGCTTTCAGCCAACTCTGAGTCACTAACTGAAGACTAGAAGGAAGTAATCTCCCCAGGGTTTCTACACAGATACCTCTCAAAGTGACATGGACTGAGGTATATGAATGAATTTCTATTCTGTCTCTCATTAAGAGCCAAAGAGCCCTTGGCAGAAAGGCACCCAGGTTCCAGCGATCAGTGGATCCAGATCAACATCCGCTGAATGAGAGTGCCGTAAGGATTCTGTTCCTTCATGGTTTTCATTCAGATACACACCTTGTATCACACACAGGGTCTCCTCTTCAGCTTCCATTTGTATCACCTTTTCTCCCATGAATATTTATCCATCAAAACACCCAGCTGCACATGAGTGATGACCACTGAAGTAACTACTGCCATAAGCTGTGGAAATGCAGTGTCTGGGCTGTGTTCCTAGTGCCACCTGCACAGCGATGGGCACTTGGATGGGCAGAGCCTGGGCAGATGGCCGAAGGCTGGCCTGAAGAGCCGTGCAGGAGTGCCGCGAGCTGTCAGCACTGCCAGCAAGCAGACTGCTGGGCCTGGGGGCCTGCAAGGAGTCGCGATACGCAGAGCACAAGTCTTGCACCGGCGACTGGAACTGGGAAAGCGTAGCTGAATGCTGGGCTAAGGGGTGATAACTAGATTGCTGGAAGAGAACTTGAGTAGTGGCTTGATGACTTAGGTTTCCCACTGCTTCCTGTTCTGGATGTTGAATTCTTACTTGCTTTTTTATGTTACTGGCTTCTTTGATGTCATTCTCATAATATCTGAAACAAATTGTAAGTAAGATTTATCAAAGAGAGAAGTTCACAGAGCTTGCATATATCCCAAAGTTTTCACCCATCAGGATACATCATCAGATTCTTGGCACTAGCTGTATACGGTAATCCTCAGTTGCTTTCACAATTAACGCTAGTTATCCTGCTGCAATCTTCACACACTAACAACAGGTTTATGGATAATTTTGCATCACAAGTATTTTTTTTACTCATGGACTGTTTATCTTGGAACCTTAAGTCCACAAAACAAAGACATTTTGAAATACTCTCTGTAAGTATTTGCAGAGTATTAAAGTGCATAGCTGTAAGGGAAACAAGGAAAATTCCTGGTAAATATCAGGAAGAAACATGTTCACACTTTTAATTATCATGGGAATGATGAAGCACTGGAACAATGTGCCCAGAGAAATTAGGAAGTCTCCATCCTTGGAGATGGTCAAACCTTGCCTAGACAACACCCCAGGCAGTCTGATTTAACATCAGTTGGCCCTGCTTTAAGTAGGGATTCAGAAAGTCCACCATCACTCCTAAAGAATTCTATTAAACTTTTTTTTATTTTCTGTTAAGCCTGTATATGCTCGCATACCAGACCAGCATTGATGCATCACAGTCATGTCCTTTACTAGAGAAAAAAATAAGAAACCAGTACAAGAAAACATAATTAACCCTAAATTGTGCACTCTATTCTGCATTGCAAATATTGTTAAAATACAGTTTTTAGTAAAGTGACCTGATTCTTTTCCCTCTTATTCCTTTCCTCAAACTGAAGATGGAGATTACCAATGTAATACTGTAATATTGTAAAATTACTAAAACAAAACAAAAAAAAGGAGTGTTAACATCTTCCTAAAAGCACAAACAGGTTACTTTCTTTCTGATCTTACATGAGCATCATTTCAATGCATTGGGCAAGGTGTTCCCAGGAATAACATGTTAGCAATTCAAGCTGTGTTGTCCAGGCAGGAAAAATCTGCATACAGATCCGTGAGGCACACACACAAGCTGCAGCAATTAGAGATGGACGAAAATAGAGGAAAGTGTGATCTACAAAAGAAAAAACAAAAGGAAGAATTATACTACTCATTCATGATGACCATCAAGGCTTCACTATAGTTTCTTTCATTTCAGACAAAGCCACAAAAACTATGCTGAAATTTGTAGACTGGTCTTAACTGAAACAAAGTTAGGTATTGGCAATTGAACACATTTATGTTAGTGTTGAACCTGGCTTATGAGGATGCTGCAGGTCACTGCCTCTCACATGGGCAGATATTGGAAGTGATGCTGCAAACCAAATCATTCAAAGCCCCATCATTCTAAATGTGTCATGTCTTCCAACACAGGACCCTCTAAAAATCATTTGAAAAGATTCATATGTGGAACTGCATGTCTGCAACTTGTGACAGATAAAAAAAATTAAACTCCATTTTTGATAGTCTCACCAATTAGTGTTCTAAGCTGAAAAAAAAAATTGATCTCATCTAGAGATTTCTGAAAAGAGACAAGAGGCTTATGCACAAGGAAGGGACACCATCTGAAATAAACACCATCTGCAAAGAGAAACCATTCTGCACAGGTAATTTTGTGCAATCCATATTATGATAAGTTTTAAGCCCCTTATCTCTTTCAGATTTTTGCCTTTTGCCAAATGTAAGATCATTTTAGCATAAAACTAAGCCTCTTACCTTGCACTGAGAAATCAAGGAAATAATACACATATTTCTCCAGACAATCTCTGATTTTGGTCAGCGAGATGATCGGCCAGCCATTGTGAAGGTCATTCTCGCCAATGGACACATAGAGGTAGTAGTCAATGTAGTGTGCTGGCGTTGGTAGACAGAGGTTCCAGTTGAAGTTTTCCAAAAGCAGCATTTCCATTCTAAGCAAATCTTTCTTGTTCAATACCACATTCACATTGCACAGGTATGCCAGGTTATTTAAGTGCTCCAACTTTGGAACTTTATCTTCTTTTTCTTCAAATTTACCTGCCAGAATAGATAAGATTTATTGTTATGACTGAGCGTCCAAAAGCCAACGAAGAACACCCCCAAACCCAGAAAGTCTAACAATAAAAGGTGCTTTTTAAAGAAGGACAGGAAAGTACAGTGACACAAGTAGGAAAGAAGCCAACAGACTGGTCAACATATTCCTACATGCTTTTTATAGGTTTGTTTGCTTTTAATTGTTTGTGTAGTATTGATGCCAAAACCAAGATTATAAACTCATTAGGGTTACACGTAGTTTTTCTGACAATAACTAGAAGTGGTTTGCTGAAGGGCATTCAGTCAAGTGTGAAGAAAGCAAGCAGTATGGTGAAAATATGGCAAAGGAAGATCTAATACTGAGGGGAAAAAAAATACTCCTTTGGGTACAGAAACTAAATGCACATGCTACAAAAAGGAAGACATCAAAAACCCACAGGCAACACCACCTTTGCCCTTGCTGCTTCAGAATTTGTCTTTGTTCCTTCTTGTCTTGGGGGGCCTCATTAGCTAAGGTCACTGAAAGGCTAGGAAGAAGTACACTGTAACCAAGTGATTAACATAACTAATTTCTACAGGGTTAGGAGAGCGCATACATTTTCAAAGTCAAGATAGCTGAGCAAAGCTATACCTTTTTCCAAATTGTATTTACCAGCCTACTGAAACAGCAGTAGTCTCCAGAACGACTCAATTTTCACTACTAGCTACAAAGTGCTGTCATTTTGTACAGAAAAACGTGATCTCACTCTTTTCACCCTCCTTTCATAAAAAGCATCCAGTATCAGGTTTGATTCCCAGGATTAGATCTATAGTAATGAAGCAACAGAGTAATTTTGCTGCAAACTTAAATCAATTAAGTTTTCTTAAATTCACACTGTTGGTTTACCAAGCCAAAAATGACCTCTCTACCAGCCACTCCTTGTTCAAGAGCTAGCAACAAACAATCACCAGTAAGAAGTTTCCAGTACAGCTTAAAGAACATCCCTGCTGCAAAATCCCAACCCATAGCTACTTAGAAGTACTCCATAGTTATTTTTCCTCTTTGTTCTTGAGGCCATATGTTCCACAATTGATTATTGCTTCAGTTGTCCTCCCACTGCCTCTGCAAGAGTCCTCCTTTACCAACACAGACCAATTGACAAGATATTAGCATGTCATATGGCTTCAGAGTATTCTTGTCAAATCTAGAAACAATTGAGTATTGCACTAGAAAATTATTTTTAAATTAAGTAAGATCTCACTATCCATTTAGGATAGCAATCCCATCTCAAGTGTCTCCAGTGTATTAAAAACCTGACAATTTTCAGTACTATTAGCAGCTTAAGTGTCTTTTTAACACATTTAAAAATGGATTTTCCATTTTTGAGCCTGTTCAGGTATCATGGATATAAAATGCATCAAAAGTATAACATAGCAGCCACCCCACCATAAAAGAGCATAACAATGAAAAATAAAGTTTATCCATTATATGAAGCAGAACAGGAAAGGACTGTAGGCAAGCTGTCAGTGAAAAAGCCCTTTAAAATTCAGGAGTCTGTATACACGTTAATGAATCTCCTTGTCACCTGAATTTAGAACAGTTTAAGAAAAATGAAATTTGAGAGAAAAGTTAACCCTTTGGTTTTTCCCCACAAGGTGATGTGACAGCCTGATACAGAAATTTAAGGAGTACGCTAGCAGATGTAGGAGAAATCACTGCTTGCCCAGGAAACTAAGGACAAGATCTGTCATTCTGGCGTCCGTAAGTTCTAGTTCATTCTTTCTTCCCACTCTACCTTGGAAATTTCAAAAGGTCGGACTATAATCTGGAGAGCAAGCTACCAGCACAGCAGTTTTGGGAAGGTATCATACCAACGCAGGGCAAACCTGACTTGATCAAGGTCTTGTTCTTTTAAAGTTAAAAATAATTGAAAAAAGCTAGATTTAGTGATTTAGATTAATAGTTAGCTATTATTTTCCCCCTTCTGCTTTTCACCACATTAGTTCCTAGCTTTAATGTTAAATAACAGCAGGCACTGCAGCAGAGACACTAAGTATAAATGTAGCTACATAAACTGAAGAAAGGCTCCAAAACCGAGTTGGGAATCGGGGGAGAGAAATCAACTCAGAAGTTTTGCTTCAAATAAACTGTAAAATTTGAACACGAGCTACTTTCCAAAGCAACATACAAGCAACTTAGATCAAGTTGCTTTCCTAATTCCACCTTGACCTAAACACTTTGCTTCCAAGTTTACCAAGTACTTCCCACATCTTTTAAATTGCAATCTGGAGAACATAGCAAAAGTTAGTTCATTCCATCAGACCAAAGACAGCAGAGGCAAGCTAGGAAAGAACAAGTTTAAGATGTTTTTAAAATACAATGTGTGCCCTTCTTCAGTTCCCCAATTTCCCTAATTTAAAGATATCAAAATATACTGTTCCTATTTTTGTTCCTTCGGTTACACCAGAAACTGAGGCTCTGTGCACAGCATATTTGTGCTGAGAGAATCAGCCCCCCCAACAAAATTGCTGCAAGAATATTACAGGCTCAGACAAGACAGTTGTAAGTCTAGCACTGACCGAACAAATAACACTGACTGGTTTAATCAACATCACACTTCGGGGAGAAAAACAAAGCTGTTTGAACTACATATCACCTTGAGTCTGTAGTTTGAAGTTCATGAGAATTGTGTATGAGTCATTTGCATGCTTTTGAAATGCCACTGTAGACATCTCAAAAGTCTGCTGTGTGTTCTGAGCTCCAGTTACTGGTAAAACCATTTAGTTGTCACTGTTGCCCTCAAAAATAGTTTTGTTTTGAGGTAACAGAATCGTAAGTCTTTAAAGCAATGCTTAAGTAATATATGGATGCTGCAAATTTTTATACAAGGAAGCCTACTGAGGTCAATAGGATTAATAAACTGAGATGAACATGTAATGTAAGGTTTACATTGTGAGCAACTGTTTTGTAAAATCTAAATATATGGGGGCAGGGCAGCACGGGACATTTTTAAGAGTGTGTAGTATTACTGTAATTAACGATGCAAAGATTTTCCAAATTACTTTAGGTCATGTTCTGCCTCACTCTGAGTTCTACAATCAGATGCTCCTGAAGAAAAAAAAAAAAAAAAAAAAAAAGTAAGTGCTTTTTATGTTAGACATTCACACTTTTGTTTTGATGAATGAAAGCCAGAGTAAGTCCTGTTGTCAAGGGGAACAGGCTTAAGTTATGAAGAGTACCTTTCATTAGTACATTTGTCACATTATCGAAACAGCCTATCAATTCATGCAGGCTTTTCACTAGGAAAAGCTGAAGGTCTCAGAGGAGCATCACTGCTATCAAACATACCCTGAAGAACTAATTCATCCCCTGCTGGAGGCAAGAGCCACTGCGTACACGCAGCGTGCAGTTCAGACTCATTACTGGCGGTTGGGTAGATGATCTTCCTGGGGTTTTGCACGGGTAGCAACACAAAAGCAGGGCATGCAAGCAATTTGTTTTATTACATTTTCAGAGTCCTCGAGAAGACCAAGGAACAAAAACGACTGCCAATTTAAAGAGTCATTAAAGCGTAAGTACTTTTTGTCCCATAAACAATGAAAATCAATGCAAAAGGATGAACCAGTCAAGCCCATCTAGGCCTGCATAAAGAAAAGACCTATGGCTGCTCACACAGCTCAAGGGCTACTTTTCTTTATTCCTACATTGTTCTAAAAGGTGGGACAATAAACTTCTGACACTCTCTCCCATGCCACCTCCAGATACAAACACAGCTTCTAACTGTCCTCTAAGCAAGCAAGAAAGAGACAGGCTATTTTAGCGATAGCCTACTTAATTCCTTTTTCTGCAGTGTCTTACAAAGTGAGCAGTCAGGGATTTTTCATCTTTCTGTACAGTACCTAGCACACATGCAAACCAGCTAGCTCCAGGCACCTGTTTTTAATGCCTTACAGTAGTAAAGTTTAATTACTAAAGAAAATATTCTGTACATGTTTCAGCATCAGGTATATATTAAAAAAATTACGACTACGGACTAAGTTTTGCACTAATATATACTCTGGACTGACACCCATTATTATCTTTTATTGAAAATAAGCAGCTCAGCTGTCTTTTTCAGAACAGTTACCTGCTCCTGAAAGTGGGACAATAAATAGAGAACAGATCACCAAGCACACTCCAGTAGAAGAGCTGCCTGATGTCTGGCAACAGCTCCATGCAGACAATGGGGAATTAGCTGATAAAGGATTACCTATGCCCTAAACTCAGCCCATTTAGCACAGACATCTTTTCTTGCTCTAATTTCTTTTACTGTCCTGAGTTAGCTCAGTTGCTGAGAATCCACTGGCAGATTAAGGAGCTGGGCAAAATAAAGCCAGGAAAACCACAAAAAGTACTCAAGTACTCTGTGAAGCAATGCAGCACTGGATGTGCTGAACAGTCAGCTAGATTTGCTTAAAACAATCCTAAAATTTAAAAACTGTTGTCATGTCCCAATAGCAGCAGAACCCTCCTGAGGAAAAGGGGCCATAAGAAATACAATCACTGGAACATTCAATGCCACTGAACAGCTGAGAGAGATGATGTTTTTCTCAGGTACTGAAGCACCTGCTGCTGAAGAGGGTTCACTCTTCAGGGATGAAAGGAACAGGTTTTAAGACCCTGCTAGGGTTTTACAGCAACAAGCAAAAACCGCACTGCTTTAACTATACTCATACACTGTAACCATACAGCCTCTGTGTACCCCAGTTACAAAACTCACAGAAGAAGCAGCTGCAGCAATTTCAGACTTACTGCCCAGGTGCTTGCTCTCTCCCCAGAGTTCACTGCTCCTGCAGCTGGACCATCTGAGTGCATTGTGTCAGAGCATCTCACCTGCTTTGGGGCAGCTGGTTTGCCCAGCAAATTTGAGCAATTTGAGCCAAGTAGCACTAAAGCACATGGGATATCTTTACACAATCCCTTTTTCCAACAGAGCACTTAGGACTAGAGCACCTTAAAATAACACCATCATTTTCTGTAATAAATTGCCCGATGAAGATGCAGTTCAGAATATTACAACCTGCTGCTGCTCAACAGTGCTCCTCTACAAGGAGCTGCCTTCTCAGATGCCAGGTGAGGTGAAATCAAAGTTCCTCAATTCCCTCCAGGCAAAATGTTAGTTACTAAATGAATACACTTACTGAAAGCATCAGCCAGCTGGTTTTGTCTGAAGAAAAACAGAGCTTACTCAAAGCATTGGGGTGCTTTGGGGGAAAAAGGAAAGTAGTAGCATTTTCAGGCTCTTATCCATTTGCAAAATGAGCATCCATCCATAGCCTGGTGCAGAGACAGCGATCCTGGCTTCTGTGCAGGTGTACTGGTAACTACCCCGCTCCAGATCCAGCTGGCTGCCTGAAGATCACCAGTCCCAGCTGCCCAGCATTACTCACCAAAAGCCAGCATCTCCCTGACCTAACAGTAGTCAACCTGAGCAACCACTAGTCTGCTTCAAGCAAGGGACAAATGGATTGGCTTCAGCAGTTTAAAACCACTGGACTTCATTAATGATCTTGCAGCAGCAGGACCTCTTGTATTACCACAGCTGGACCTCAAAAGGAGGTCCTGTCTTCTAATACTGTACCTGGCCAAAATATCCATGTGGACCAGGTCTTCCTGTATTACAAAAACATACTTAGTTTGTGATTCTGATGTAGATCATAAAGTTTCCCTTAAAGCAAGTGAAAGAGAGAGAATATTGTAAATACATTCCTAAAGTAACTCTGACATCAATTTTTCCAGCAACTTTTCCTTCCCTCCCCCAATAGCTTTCAGTTCACCTCTAGATTACTGTTAACAATTTTTACCATTCGTTTTCAGAACTGATTCAGAGGAAATAATAACTATTGATGACATTACTAAGCTTCAAAGCTTTTATAGTTGTTCTCAATAGCTAAACTCTGGGAGGAATTTCCAGAGGCCTCCAATTATCACACTTTACATGCATTTCAAAGAAACATACATCTTCTGGCTAGTGAATAACTGGATGATTCAAGGGACACACCCCAACATTCCTCTCACCTGCAGCAAGTCCAGACTGAACATTACTTGGCTGCTAGTGCAATTTGTTTGGAACAGTATTATCTTCTCATCTCTTTCACAATTATTACTGAAGCGGGAAGCACTGTCATCATCCAGTTTCCCTGTCAAGGGAAACTGATAAGCCAGTCAAAATGCATTTGTAGTACACAGCGAGAGAAACTAGCTCCAGCTAACTAAAGGACATCTAGCAAAATGTTACGTTCTCCATCATGACAGCATGGCTGTTGTTGCTATCAAAAATAGGTGATGGCAGTGTTTGTAGGTAAAGAAAAAAAAAAAAAAAAGAGTCAAGTTTTTGAGATCCTTTAGATCCCACATAGAAGCAACAAACTTCAAAGCTAAACACAAGTTCACAACAATTTCTGAGCTTAAAAATTGTCCTCAACTTGCATTTAGCTTAGAAGCTTGTTGCTTCCATTTCCGAAGTTGTGTGTCTAAAAGCTGCTCTATTATGCCCCTCCCACCCCCCAAAAACCCACACAGTAATCAGTGGGAATGAACAATCTTGCCTCTAACTATACCTCCTCTTGCTTGTGGCCTGCATGCTACCCTTCATCTCTTGCTCTTTCCTAAGGAAAGAATTAGGAAGAAAACCCAGTTTTTCTCAAAATGTGTTTCTAACAATTATCGAAAGACAGCCTGCATTAAACATCTTGATATAATGTAAAAAGCACAACTATTTAAAAAAAAAAAAAAAGATTAGTTTTTTCTCTCTACAGTAAAGATATCTAATTTTTTAGTACACGTGTCTTGCAACACAGCCTGAAGAGCACTTTTGCTGCAATCCTCTGCTGGAAAACTATGCAACTTCCTACAGTAATGCTTTGCGGGAAGTTCTAATTACTGCATTTGCAGTAACAGGCAAGGGACTAGTTTTATTCTTCTTTGCTACAATAAGAACCTTCAAGGTGACTTCAGGTCAATACTTCTGACTTACTCAGAATCTTTTACTACAAAACATTAAAAAAATAAATCATGGTACAAGTTTTCTTCCATTTTGTATAATTTTGAAAGTAACAAACTAAACACAGGAATTCCCATTTACTGTAAAGTGGCTTTTCCTGACTTGACTTGCATCACTTGAACTACACGTACCAAAAAGGAATATCCTTATTGCACATTAAGATGGCCCAGGCAGTAAACAACAGAGCTTACTATGGTCCCAAAAGTCTCCAAACCGAGCCTAGCATTTTAAACCTTATCTACAGAAGTTAATTAGGCATTAATTTTGTGCAAAGCTGCTTTGGTTCAACTGTCAATGTTTTGTTTCTACATGCTGGTAGGGAAGCTGCCTTTACAGCAGTAGACCTTTTCCCCTTTTTATAAGGGATGATTTAATTCCAGATCAGGATGTATACATGCTACTGCATTGCTCTAATATTAATTTTAAAAAAAGATTCTCACACTCATTCACTCACTAGAGTTAGGCTTGCTCTTTGAAGCAAATTGCCTTTTTTTTTTTTAAAAAACCAGGCAGAAGTTGCAAAACGTTTCCCTCCAGTGTTATCATAGGGCAGTTTGTGAACTTCCTTTTGCTTCACAGTTGCGTAGAGGTGGCCCGAAGTTGCACTTAACTTTAGTCATTTACATAAGGAAAATCCTGAAAGCTTTTTTGCTTTTTTTTAAATCCTAGAAGCTACCCAAGTCAGCAGTCCAGCTCTCCCAACCTCATACAGCAAACCTCTACCCAAGATCATACCACTAATACCAACTCTGACAATTCATACAAAGTTTGAGGGTACCATTTTCATCCTATCTGCGTAGCACTGGAAACGTAAGATATAGCTACATTTTTTTTCCTGTAAATCCAACTGAAAAGTTATTAGAAGAACTGTTGAAACATCAATTTTATGCCAGGGAAAAATGCAGGAGTATACTTGAAATAGTCACATACAGTGACAGAAAATCCTATTCCCTTTTCCTGAAGGTAACATTTATCCATGCACTTGGAAAATAATAAAAAAACTCCACAATCCCAAAAAACTAGCAGTGCTGCAAGGCATCTTGTAGTTATGAGGTTACCCAAAAAAAGAAAAAGAGATGGTATGACAGCTGAAGGAGTATACCTCTGAGCAGGCATCGGCCTCCAGGCTACCCGAACTTGGTATTTCATCCAGTCTGATGTGTTCGAAATTAAGGGTACAGTTTCATAACAATTTACAAATCAGCCCTAGCCTCTCTTCCCTCCATTGCACCAGCCTGAAGCTTGTCTGACCCCTCAGAAAAATACCTCTCTGTTAAATTAAGAAAACACTTCCTCAGCTGGGATGATTTTCTGCCAATCTACTGGTCTGAAGGAGTTCACCAAAGGCTCAGGTCAGCAGAACTACAATATCTGAGGGTCACTCATGCTGCTGTAAGACTGCACCTACAGCAGCCACTTACATTCTACTTTGTTCCCATTTTAGTATTGGCCTTTTTTGCAAAAAGAAGCAGTAACTGCTCCATATAATTCACCATCTTCTCTGAAGTCAGATAGACAGCAATGCTTAAATGCACTAAGTGTAAGGGGGGGGTGTGTGTTTATTATTTCACCATTAACTCTGCAGATTAAGCTCTTCAGAACACAACCAGCAAGGAAAAGCAGTGGCAATCCCATGTCCTGAGGGGTAAACGTAGCATCACCTTCTTTCCTCAATAGCTTCTGGCTCTCCATAGTGTTTTTTACCTCAACCAATGTGACTACTTACACTTTTCAACCATTAATGGTAGAGTTTGCATAACTTTTGTTGTCCACAATACCCCATTCTCTACGTGGTTCCCATATGGCGGGATAATTTCCCTGTAACCTAGAAACAGAGCTCCTAAGTCTGCAGGAGTAGGCTGCAATTCCTTGACACCAGTCTTGCTTTCCTCCACTGGCACAGCACTGGCTGCAGAAATTTCAAGAAAGCACTAATGACAAATGTTCAAGGGCATTTACTAAATGGATGCCCATACTGAAACTTTAGTATTACACAGCAATGCCTAGCTACTTGGTAGGAACAAGCAATACGCATTCCAGCATCATCAACACATTCATTAAGTGCCTTGACAAGCAAATTTTCCTTTGGCCCCTGTATATGAAACCTCTGATTTGCAAGGAACTGATTATGCCCAGTGATCACAACAGAGGCGCAGGTTGTCCAAGGACAGATCTCCAGGAGAAGCTGCGTGTTACACAGATGTCATTCCCTACTACCAACTCTTCCTCAGAACTAACCTCTCCCAGTCTTGGGACTTCCTTCCCATTCCATCACCCCCTGATCATTGTCCCCTTCCACTGACCCAGCTTCAGCTGCCAAAACTTCCTCTGCACATTAACACCAGCATGTAGATGTGTAGTGCAAGCTACACAGTTGAGTGGAGTTTATTAACAGACTGCTTTATGCCTTGACTTGAACTTCATTAGTAGGTGGAAGCTGTTAACACAGAGAAAACAGCACATTATATATAAGGAAAACAATCATCTGCTCAGCAAAAAAAAAAAAAAATAGCCTTAATAGACAGCAGCCAACTTACTTGCTAGGAGAAGACAGGCAAATGAAATGATGTGCAGTTGCTTGACAGTGATATCATAGCGATCCATAAAGAGGTCCAATAAATAGATAGCGAGATGCCGGGCTGTAGGGCAGAGATTGCAACGGTTGCTGAGGACAGTCAAGAGATCAATGAAGTATCGGCGCATCCCAATCTGTGGTGAGTGAGCCTTATACACAGGCAACTTCAGTTCCTATGGGGGGAAAAAAAGGGAGGAAAGAGAGGTAACTGAAACAAATACCATTTCAGCATCTGGAATCCCGGACCAACACGCACCACCTGCTATGGCAAATGCTTAGCAGCTACACCACTATGATTGACACAGAAATCAGGGCTGGATTACTGCACATTTTGACAGTCAGTTAACTTCTAACACTTTGGTCATCCACGCACTTTTCTCACAAGCATTAAACACATGGTCAAACACGATAACCCAGGAAAAACTTGCTGTTGCTTTCTACAGCACACCAAACTTTTCGGCCACGAAAATTGTTCCCGAATGACTCAGTTTTAATAGTCCAATTTGGGTGAACAAAATTAACTAAAGTTTTAACAGAGTTTCATAGGCAAGAAGGCCAAGATACATTTCTCTGATACTGCCCCTTCCTCACTTGCCCAAGTTACTACAGCCTGTGCCAAAAAAAATGCATAGGTCTTTATAATAAATAACATCTATCTAACATTAAAAAAGTTTCATGTGGTGCATGAATGCAGCAAGAAACAAAAGTAGACATTAATACGGAAAAAAAAAAAACAGGAGAATGATTAGACTTTTCTATTTATAGCAAATTCCAGTATTTTTTTAGTAACTTATTTCAGCATTATAAAAGCTAATTACTGAACTGACACACTGTATTTCCCATGTAATGTACAAATTCTCATTATAAAAGCAGAATTATATAAGTTTTTGGTCTACCTATGCTAGATCTTCACCTGCAAGGGTTTTTACACACAACTTCATAGCCAGTATGCAAAGAGTAAGTTAAGGCAAGGAGTGAAGGTCCTTGGCAATACCTGCAACGAGCTAATGCCACTTGAAAGTTGACACTTTCTCACTTTAGACATGGTCATATACTAAGGCAGTTATCGTGGCCAGGCTTGAATTAAAATGGGCTGAACACATGGTGACAGGCCTGGATTAGAAATATACCATTTCCACAAGGTGTATCTCTCAGTAATTCATCAAGGCAGTATGTTATTTTTGTATTACGTATATTTGAACATAAACTAGTAGTAGTCCCGTACTGCAAGATAGATGTGTTTTAGAGTGGAATATAAAGCAGTACATAGCAGTTAATTCTACTAAATTAATCAGGAGGGGGTTTTTTGGTTTTGTCTTGGGGTTTTTTGGTTTTTTTTGGTTTTTGGTTTTTTTTTTTAAGTGTTCAGCAGCAGTATCTGCAGTGGCTACCCCATTTACAGAAGAGGGATTTTTTTTAAATTACAGAGAATTTACCCTTGCACAGCCAGCGCGGTGGCGGCCCACGCTCCTTTCATCCCCTGGAAGGAGACATTCCATGAGGAGGTTCAGCTTATCAGGAAAAAATAGCTACACAATCAGGCTCAGAGGGGCGCACATAACTGGAAACCAGGGAGGCTCCAGAACGAGAAGCGGCTTACAAAGCCAGCAAGCTGAGCGCTGTTACGGCTGATTGCTTCCCAGGCCTTTTTTAAGAACATCAGTGAAAAAACACATTCCAGACTGAACAGACACACGCTGTGGACAGGCAAACAGCCCTTGGAAACCTGGGACAGCCTTTACTGGGGGATTATAAAGAAATTGCCCACCAGTAACGATTTATAAAGCATGGAGACAATGGAACACGTTCCCCCCCATTGTTTTATACCCAAAAAACACCCATAAATTTGATTTTTCGATTGCCTTATGTACAGAGATTTCAATCCATCAGTAAAACTGACATACACAGGTTCAGAGCAGGAATTCGTAGCATACCCATAACATGAATGTTCTGGCAAAAATAGTTTCAAGCTCAGTGCTTACATAATTAAAATAACTGGGGGTTTTTTTGTTTTTGTTTTTTTTTTGTTTGGTTTTTTTTTTTGTTTTTTTTAAATATGTCTATACAAAGCCCAAGCCATCACAAGATCAGGTGGCAATTCTACCTCTGAAATATTTTGTTCTTCTAGGTGACTGGTAGGAGCTTCAAGTTTTATTTTTTTAAATGTTTGTCCTGTTTTGACAGCGAAGTCTCCCAGCAAAATTATGCTATATACTCTGAGGTCAGCATACATATTTAATGTGAAATTTGCTTTTCAGACCATAACAACAAATGCAAACAGTAACTCTGGTTCTACATCTAGTCAAAAAATCTGACGTCTAAATGTTACAGTTCAGTGGGTGAGCATTAAAGGCTCAGAACGAAAGCAGAGATCCAGAGATTTGCATCCAAACCTCAGGTGCTCAAAAGGCAGAACTACCCCTACTCAGCCCACTGCGCTAGAAAATTCAAAGACCAGTTAAAGCACTGAATTTAAGCCAATTGTATTATTCTGCTACTTGCTTAACACAGTCATTTACTCGCCTGTAAGACATCTGTTTGTTTGGGGGTTTTTTGGTTATTTTTTGAAAATCAGTTACTAGTAAAGGGCGTAAGTGAAAGGCATTCTCATTTTGTTCCCGCGGGCTTCCATGTAACCAGACTTGACAGCACAGACAAGGTTCAACTTCAGGATTAATGTTAGGAGGAACAGAGCCACGTGCTGTGGTTTCTTACAAGATCAAGTTCCTAGGTATTAATTGATCCAGGGTAATTATCTGTGTATAGGCAAGAGCCTTGCCCTGCACCGCATAGCATGAAGCAGCTAATAAACAGTTGAATAGGACTGCTTTTACACTGACAGATCAGTCTTAAATGATGATATTTTCTTTTAAAGGAAAGCCAGTGGTACATAGTGTAACAATGCAAGAGCTGAATAACAGGCTTACAGTCATCAACGCGGCTGTGGGTATGCACCCCTTTCCATAACACCCCCCCCCAACCCCTC